CGCGATGGCCGGCGACCGATCCCCTTCACCTCCCGCCGGCTCTCCGGCTTCCAGTTCGAGTGAAACTGGAACTCGGTCAGATTCTCCCCCCCGCCTTCACCTCCCTGCCATTGTTTATTTTCTTTTACTTTGTGAACTGGCTCAATCAACAGTGAGATAGTGGCCTCAAGTTTAATTGCGTCCCAGTCCCAGGGACGTGCTGATCGTATCGGCTCCTTGGGAGTCTTATTTTTTCACAGACATGTATCTCTGTCAAAAACTATTGTTGGCGGTGAGTCAGTTTTGTACTACTTCCTAAGTCTTTGTAAAGATTTTACTATGAACTACTCCCTCCGTTCCGAAATAATTGTCTTTCTAGCCATCTCAAATGGACTACAACATACGGATGTATGTAGACATGTTTTAGAGTGTAGATTCATTCATTTTGCTCTGTATGTAGTTATTTGTTGAAATCTCTAAAAAGACAATTATTTCGAAACGGAGGGAGTACATACGAATGTATATAGACGTAGTTTAGAATGTAGATTCACTCATTTTGCTCCGTATGTAGTCTTTTATCGGTATCTCTAAAAAGACTTGTATTTGGGAATGGAGGGAGTAGTTGTTTATTTTGATATACTATATGGTTGTAGTTTTTGTTTATACAGGAACTGGTTGTCAACTACAACCAGTTGGCTGTGCTCAGCTTTGCACCCAGCCTGCCATCTGGGTTCCATTGTTGGGCCCCGCAAATGTGTGCACCTGGGTTGTTTCCTCTGAATCAATATGCCACAGGGGCTAGTCCCTGTTTTGGTTGGTCAAATTAAATTTGTTGCATTGTATTTCTCATGAGAAAAACAGAAAAGGCCAACAAATCCTAGCTATGTTTCTACATCTTCGTCGTAATAGTCACCTCACACATCATCGTGCTTGTTTTGATCAGGGTCCCGGAGCGTGTGGAGGAGGTGAGCAGCCGTGAGCTTGAGACCCTGACGCTGAATGACACATCTCACACACTTGAATCAGCTGAGGGGTATGTCCATCTTTATTTTGTCCTTCCTTTCGTAAGTTAACAACTGGTTTGTTGAAATGTTGGGTACTTTTTATGACCCGTATGGCTGCACTAATGGCCCATATGGTTGTACAATGGGTACTTGTTGGGTGTGTTTGGTAACAATCTCACCCTAGCATGGTTGTTCTCTCCTGAGACTGGTGGCATGTATCCATATCTGATAGATTTGGTTACCTTCTCCTTGAGGTGGTGAGGATGCCACCACGATTATGAGATTATGATGGAAAATGAATTATGTAAACAATTGTAGCAAGAATTTGTGGATAATTCGTTTGATTCAAACAACTTCTTCTCAGCATACACACTTTCCTCGTGCATTGAAGATCGATTACTGATATCTGTTTTCCTTAGGACTTTCAAGCTTCAAATTTAGTCACAGTAGACGTTGACTAAAGCATGGATGTAAATTGTTTGGCCTAGGGTGGTGATACATGCTGAAACAGTCGATTCATAATTTCATAATGATGCATACTGATATTCAGAAAAAAGTTGTTGCTGTTATGTTTCTTTAGGTCAACAAATAGCTTTAAATGGAGCTATGCGATTGTCTTTCGCATGTCATAATGCAGATTAGCTCAGTTGCCACGCATAGTGAACCCCACATCATCCGTATTTCTAGAACCTGGTTAGTGAACCCCACGTAGTGAACCTGTCTTATATCCATACACAAATACTATAATCAAAGGTTCATAGTGAATAAGGCAAGGCTTATTACATGACTTTTCTCCTAGATCTAAGCAAAGAGTGCTTATAGTCTATTAATGCAAGTTTAATTAAATTGAGAATCAGTTTATTGCATCTTGTCCCATGTTGTATCACTACGTGAACTTTCTTGTATATCTATCTAGATTACATTATTAACCATGTTTTGCTGACGGATTCTTATATTTCTGTCTAGGCAGGAGATATTTGGAGGATTTTATCCACTCGACCATCAAGGTGATATAAAATTTGAGAGAAGACAAGCTGAAGAACGAGCTCAATTTTTCCAAGCACAAGGATATTGCCCACTCGACTTTGAAACTAACAAAGAATATGCAAACATGAAAGTTGGAAAACAAACTCAATCAGTCCAAGCACGGGGACAACATACTTACGCTTCTAAGGAAGAAGAAATTGCTGCAAATGCGAAACGATGGATGAGCGAGGAGGCGATGGTGGCTTTCACAAGTACATTGAGAGCAAAGATGATCTTAAGGTTCTCCACGTCTGCTCTAAAATGCTTTTTATTGTTGGGACTATAGAGAACTATGACTAACACTTGTTTCATCTTAGGGACTTGATTATGAATTTGACGAGCTTGTCCATCAATGTTTTAATATGGAGGATTATTTAACGATATTCCATCACTTCAACTTTACTGTCAAGATAAAGAAGCCTGGCTCAGCTGATTGGATGTCGGCGATGTACTTCGCCGAGGTCAAATCGATATGTATGATAAAACTCTATGCCTGTTATCCTTTGGAGGAAGATCAATATGGTATGGAAACTTTTCACCTTATGATTTGTAGTGACCTAAAAAGATTCTAACATTGTGATTTACTTTGCCAGGTGAATGTTATGCCTGTGAGAACCAAGGAATGGGTGTATTGAGGCACCCGTTAAAAGGGATATACGATATGGGCAGGGAAGATGTAGAACCTCCCTTATATTATGAGGACAGCGACTCTGATGAATTCGATCCAGCAACAGTCCGGAGTTTATCTTCTGATGATGATATGAGTTGATGATGGCCTTGTCTTTTATTCTAGTACTGTAAGTTAGTTGTAGCTCTCCCCGCAAAAAGAAAAAGTTAGCTGTAGCTCTCCCCGCAAAAAAAAAGAGTTACCTGTAGCTCTTGTATGCTCTTGATCTGTTGATTCCTAGTTGAATTGAGAATGTATTCCTAGCTCCAGCAGCATCTGAAGAATGACGAGTAGCAGCGCAGCAATGGTTTGTACCATTGGTATTATGCGTTGTTGGTTCTAATGTCACGCTCATATTTGCTTTGATGCGACTGGTTTACTCTTCTTTAAATTGTTGCTCTCACGGTCGGTGAACTGCAAGTTCTTATTTACCTTTTTTTTTTGGTATAATTGGCATTCCGTTCACCCAAGCAAACGGCCAAACCAACAGGTTTGCAGAATTGCAGTGGCCGCATGGCCTGGTTATACTTTGAACTTGACAAGATTTAGACGAGCAAAGAAGTCAATCTACCTGACCGGTCATATCCTTCTCTGTTAACAGCCTGCACCATAGTAGTAGAATCCGATTC